ACAGTGAAATGAGATATTTAGCTTCATAATTTAAGAACACGCACACACTGTAATGTATAGCTTGTATAACAGAGGGGATGCCAGTAATTGTCATCAGTGACTTTACAACCATTTTAATGCTGAAACGCTTCTATGTGCATTATGGTGTGTAAAGTGTTTTTTTTTGCTCTTCATCTCTTCTCCTGAATGCGCTGTTGATTTATTTATTTTTTCAGCCTGTAAACACTCCCCTTCTAATACTCCTTGTAAATGCCTATGTGTGCATAGACACAGACTTTCATGCTGAAAAAGAATGCCAAATGCTGGTAAATTCAGTGATATTTAAGCACAGTGCGCATGAGGTCGAAGAACACCATAAACAGTAATTTTAGATCTGAACTTACACTGGGTCACGCAACTATTTTAGGCAGAAATAGCAGTGATTATTGGAGCTCTTTAAAACAAGCATCTGATTTGTTGCTATGGCAACAGCTCTAGCTTTTCCATGAATCCCCTGCTAACAGTGACTGATTCGCTTTAAAATGTAACTAACATTAAAATTCAGGTTTCATGTATCAGCACTGCCAAGTAACATAGAAAGCGTTAGTAACAAAGTACAGTAGTATTTTCATGCATGGTACAAAAGCAACATAGCCAAGGATCAACTGCTTGTACGAGCATTGTTTAATCTCAATAGAGGTCTGTTTTAAACATGCGCTGTCTGGGAGACTTGCAGTAAGATCAGGGAGATCAGCAAGGGAAAACCAATATGGCCACCATAGCTGCAATCTCCGGGATCACTGCAGCATAAGGCCCCTTTCACACTGGGATAATCCGATTTGATCAGCAAGGGATCTGTCCGCTGATCCCCTACTGAGCAGAGCAGGCAGATGTCACATCCCTGTCCATTCAGTTTATGCAGAGTGAACACAAACAGAGCCCCCTCTGCTACATGGACGGACAGGCCCAACTGCCCTCCAATATGTCTAGTTGGAGGGGACGGGTCCGCCTTTTTTTTTTTTTTTTTTTTACAAGTCCATTTACATCCACTGGTCCATAGTGGTTAATAGAGGGTCTGATCAGGTCCGCCTGAAAAACTGACAGGCAGACCTGATTGGAACTTTGTGTGAAAGGAGCCTTATGCCCCGTACACATGACAAGAAAATCCTACGAAAAATTTAGCGAAACCACTGATCGGACGATTTTCTCTTCGTTGATGAGCAGGATGTTTTACCCGATTACGATATTGTGAACGAAATCCGGTTGAACAACAGTGAAAAATGTCGTTTCGCATACGAACAACCGATTTTCTATGCGGTGGTATGACGGTCGTACAAAAAAAAATTTATCAAACGCTATCATGCATCAGTGGAAACAGAAGATGACTCGGATGTTTATGTCCAAGGATTCTTCGTAAAACATGAAAGAAAATCCAAATGTTAAAAGTAGATTGGCCTAATGAGATAATGAAACCAGAATGATTCATATTATATTTTTATGTATCACTATTTATGTATATACATAATGTAATAAACTATATTATTTATTTCAGATACTTACCGTATTTTTCGCTCCATAAGACGCACTTTTTTCCCCCCAAAAAGGGGGGAAAATGTCAGTGCATCTTATGGAGCGAATGTAAAGCGGCCGGTCCGGTATTTCTGCCGCCATCATGTCAGATTATCGGGCCGGCCGCTCAGCTCTTCTCTCCTGCAGGACCTTACCTGTTCCTCGCTCCAGCGTTGCAATCTTCCCGCGGTGGCTTCTGTGACGGCTGGGTGCCCACTGCACATGTGTCTGGCATCTTCTGGGACACATGACAGGTCCCAGAAGGCTCCGGGCCATTCACAAAGTGCAGCGCTTCTCGCGCATGCACAGTGGGCAGCCGGCTGAAGCCGCCACGGGAAGAAGGAAGGAAGGACAACTCCGTGGAAGCGGGTACCTGTCAAATTCAGGTACCCGCTCCCCTCTCCCGCCCCAAAGGTCCGCAGTCTCTGGTAATCTCCTTTACTGTCTGCAGTCTTTGGTCATCTGTACTATGTCCGCAGTCTCTGGTCATCCCTTGTACTGTCCGCAGTCTCTGGTCTTCTGTACTATGTCCGCAGTCTCTGGTCATCTCCTGTACTATGTCCGCAGTCTCTGGTCATCTCCTGTACTATGTCCGCAGTCTCTGGTCATCTCCTGTACTATGTCCGCAGTCTCTGGTCATCCCCTGTACTGTGTCCGCAGTCTCTGGTCATCCCCTGTACTGTGTCCGCAGTCTCTGGTCATCCCCTGTACTGTGTCCGCAGTCTCTGGTCATCCCCTGTACTGTGTCCGCAGTCTCTGGTCATCCCCTGTACTGTGTCCGCAGTCTCTGGTCATCCCCTGTACTGTGTCCGCAGTCTCTGGTCATCCCCTGTACTGTGTCCGCAGTCTCTGGTCATCCCCTGTACTGTGTCCGCAGTCTCTGGTCATCCCCTGTACTGTGTCCGCAGTCTCTGGTCATCCCCTGTACTGTGTCCGCAGTCTCTGGTCATCCCCTGTACTGTGTCCGCAGTCTCTGGTCATCCCCTGTACTGTGTCCGCAGTCTCTGGTCATCCCCTGTACTGTGTCCGCAGTCTCTGGTCATCCCCTGTACTGTGTCCGCAGTCTCTGGTCATCCCCTGTACTGTGTCCGCAGTCTCTGGTCATCCCCTGTACTGTGTCCGCAGTCTCTGGTCATGCCCTGTACTGTGTCCCGCAGTCTCTGGTCATGCCCTGTACTGTGTCCGCAGTCTCTGGTCATGCCCTGTACTGTGTCCGCAGTCTCTGGTCATGCCCTGTACTGTGTCCGCAGTCTCTGGTCATGCCCTGTACTGTGTCCGCAGTCTCTGGTCATGCCCTGTACTGTGTCCGCAGTCTCTGGTCATGCCCTGTACTGTGTCCGCCGTCTCTGGTCATGCCCTGTACTGTGTCCGCCGTCTCTGGTCATGCCCTGTACTGTGTCCGCCGTCTCTGGTCATCCCCTGTACTGTGTCCGCGCCGTCTCTGGTCATCCCCTGTACTGTGTCCGCCGTCTCTGGTCATCCCCTGTACTGTGTCCGCCGTCTCTGGTCATCCCCTGTACTGTGTCCGCCGTCTCTGGTCATCCCCTGTACTGTGTCCGCCGTCTCTGGTCATCCCCTGTACTGTGTCCGCCGTCTCTGGTCATCCCCTGTACTGTGTCCGCCGTCTCTGGTCATCCCCTGTACTGTGTCCGCCGTCTCTGGTCATCCCCTGTACTGTGTCCGCCGTCTCTGGTCATCCCCTGTACTGTGTCCGCCGTCTCTGGTCATCCCCTGTACTGTGTCCGCCGTCTCTGGTCATCCCCTGTACTGTGTCCGCCGTCTCTGGTCATCCCCTGTACTGTGTCCGCCGTCTCTGGTCATCCCCTGTACTGTGTCCGCCGTCTCTGGTCATCCCCTGTACTGTGTCCGCCGTCTCTGGTCACTTCCTGTACTGTGTCCGCCGTCTCTGGTCACTTCCTGTACTGTGTCTGCAGTCTCTGGTCATCCCCTGTACTATGTCTGCAGTCCATTGGTTCAGAATATTTTTTTTTCTTGTTTTTCTCCTCTAAAACCTAGGTGCGTCTTATGGAGCGAAAAATACGGTATATGGTGCCGTCCATTTATGCAGTGCTATATATATATATATATATATATATATATATATATATATATATATTTGTACATTCACATCAGTCCCTAACCCTCAAGGGGTGTACAATCTAAGGTCCCTAACTCACATTCATACATACATATACTAGGGCCAATTTAGACAGGAGCCAATGAACCTACCAGCATGTCTTTGGAGTGTGGGAGGAAACCGGAGTACCCGGAGGAAACCCATGCAAACTCCAGGCAGGTGGTGCTGTGGTTGGGATTTGAACCGACAACCCTAGTACTGCCAGGTGGAAGTGCTATCCATTTAGCCACTGTGCTGCCCCGATTATATTCTACTCATTGCTGTTAATTGTGTATATTGCTCGTTCTGGCTGGAAGGGCGTGGCTACAAGGTCACACGCACACTGCATCACTTCCACTTGTAACACTAATCATTGCTCGATGAACAATTTTTTTAGATTGGTCAATGTGGGCCACGATTTCGACCAGCGAACGAACGCGTCTCGGTCGTCCGATGACCGATCGGTCGATTTTCTAATCGAACTTAAAGCTGGCCACATGCTGGTCAAAATTTAGCTAATTCAGCTATTTCGATCAGTGTGTGTCCATCCCTGCTTGATAGCAGTTGATGGTTATATCTGTCACGGCCCAGCAATGACCTCTAACTTCCATGTTCAGGCTGAATCCGAGCTTATCTATATTCCTTACCCCACATGCATAGTTGCCAATATTTGAAAAAAGTTTTTGGGGACACTTTTTTTTTTTCTGTGTGGCAGGAAAGCTTCTGTAGGCGGGGCATTACTTTAATTAGGGGTGGGGCATTCATATGTTAAGGGCATGGTTGTAGCTGCAATGAAAAATGGGTGTCGTTTAAAATCTGCCAAATATTGGCGTGGCTTAAATGGGGTGTAGTTAGAGTTTGAGATGACTTACATAGTGAAGAATGTGGTAAAGTTAAATAGGGAATGTACAGTGCAGAATGAGGGAGGATGGAGATGACTGTGTTTGTGTATAGAATGGGAGTGAAAGGATGGTGTGTGTATGCAGGATGGAGATGATTGTGTGTGTAGGATGGAGATGACTCAGTGGAGGTGACTGTGTGTGTGTGCAGGATGGAGATGACTGGATTGTGTGTGTAGGATGGAGATGATTGACAGCCATCCCCACCTGACAACTCAAATGGCTGCTGCTCACTACCTCCTGCCCTCAAAAAATACAGAGAGAGACCCTTATCCATGATGAACTTCCCCCCCAGATATGGATATGCAAAGAGTGCAAAATTGCAACACTAACATACACTATATTGCCAAAAGTATTGGGGCACCCCTCCAAATCATTGGATTCAGGTGTTCCAATCACCTCCATGGCCACAGGCGTATATAATCAAGCTCCTAGGCATGCAGACTGCTTCTACAAACATTTGTGAAAGAATGGGTCGCTCTCAGGAGCTCAGTGAATTCAAGCGTGGTCTTGTGATAGGTTGTCACCTGAGCAATAAGTCCATCTGTAAAATTTCCTTCCTACTAAATATTCTACGCTCAACTGTTAGTGGTATTATAACAAAGTGGAAGTAACTGGGAACAACAGTAACTCAGCCATAAAATGATCGTAAAATGACAGAGTGGGGTCACCGCATGCTGAAGCACATGGTGTTCAGAAGTCACCAACTGTCTGCAGAGTCAATAGCTAAAGACCTCCAAACTTCATGCGGCATTCAGATTATCACAAAAGTGAACAGAGAGCTTCATGGAATGGGATTCCATGGCCAAGCAGCCGCATCAAAGTCTCACATCACCAAGAGCAATGCAAAGTGTCAGATGCAGTGGTGTAAAGCATGCTGCCACTGGACTCTAGAGCAGGGGAGACGTGTTCCCTGGAGTTACTAATCACGCTTTTCTGTCTGGTAATCCAATGGACGTGTCTGGGTTTGGCGGTTGCCAGGAGAACGGAACTTGCCTGACTGCATTGTGTAAAGTTTGGTGGAGGGGGGATTATGGTGTGGGGGTGTTTTTCAGGGGTTTGGCTTGGCCTCTTAGTTCCAGTGAAGGGAACTCTTAAGGCGTCAGCATACCTAGACATTTTGGACAATTTCATGCTCCCAACTTTGTGGGAACAGTTTGGGGATGGCCTCTTCCTGTTCCAACATGACTGCGCATCAATGCACAAAGTAAGGTCCATAAAAACATAGATGAGTGAGTTTGGGGTAGAGGAACTTGACTGGCCTGCACAGAATCCTGACCTCAACCCGACAGAAAACACCTTTGGGCTGAATTAGAGCGGAGACTGCAAGCGAGGCCTTTGGTCTGACCTCACAAATGCGCTTCTGAAGAATTGGTCAAACATTCTCATAGACACACTCCTAAACCTTGTGGAAAGCCTTCCCAGAAGAGATGATGCTGGTATAGCTACAAAGGGTTGGCCAACTCAATACTGAACCCTACGGACTAAGACTGGGATGCCATTAAAGTTCATGTGTGTGTAAAGGGTCCCAATACTTTTGGCAATATAGTGTACCTCCTGGGGGTCCACTGCAGCCTCATACGAGTTGCCAGTGTCCTGGAAGTCCGAAATCAGGGCGGGGCAGCAGCAGTTAGGGGTTCCTCTTTCTGCAAGAGCCTAGAGTAGTTAAAAGATTAAAAACTTTCCTTGCCCTATTTGCTCTGTGGGATGGGGGGGCCACGGCAGACTGGGGACTATTTCTCCATTTCAGGTGCCATGGACTAATACACAGTGCAGTGGCTCTCATGCATTAAACTAATGTCCCAACCTCTTCTACATCAATCTGCTGGAGCAATTCGGCAGATTGATACAAAAGTAACCATGATTTTTTGCTTACTACTCCACAGCTCTCGAAAATGGAGAAATAGTCCCCAGTCTACTGCAGCTCCCCCTTACCGCTGAGCAATTAAGGCAAGGAAAGTTTTTTTTTTTTTCTTAATCTTTTAACTACTCTAGGTCCTTGCAGAATTAGGAACCCTATCTGCTGTTGCCCCCGCCCTGATCTCGGACTTCTGGGACACTGGCCTGGGACTGAGGCATGGTGGAACATCATTCAAAAATTCATGACTGCCCCAGGCAATCCATGACAATTGGCAGCTATGCACACTCATACATTAACATTCGGGTCAATTTACTCAGGAGCCAATTAACCTACTAGCATGTCTTTGGAGTGTGGGGTGGATTACCTGAAGGAAACCCACACAAGCACAGAGAGAACATGTAAACTCTATGCAGGTAGTATTTTGGTTGGGATTTGAACCAAGAACCCTGGTGCTGCAAGGCAGGAGTGCTAACCACTATTATGACATGGGGTATGAATGCTGCATGTGCTTTTATTTGTATCAGCGTATCGTCACAGGTTCTGATTAAGTATTTAAAATATTCAGACAGTTGAACGGCAAACACTAATGGAGTACTGTAAAGTGAATTACTAATGTTCACAAATGTCTGTGTGTGATGGCTGGGGGCGCAACTCTTACTTATGCAGCATAAAATCTTTCTAACCCAATACATTCGTTTGATAAAATTGAATTTCAGACAGTTACTGTTAAAGGATGAATTACTATCCTGGTTTCCGAGGTATCCACCATTTTTTTTGTTTAGGGATCACAGGCCAGTTGTAATTTCTTTTTCTTAAAGAGGACCGCCACTTTCTAACATTCTTCTCGCTTACCCTCTCCCTATAACAAAAATTTTAAAAAAAGTTATACTTTTTTTTCCCCTAAAGTTTGGGTCCTTCATTGTCACAGAAACACCATGGGTCACTCTGGATTCCCTTACACAATTTTTCTGTGCATTCGAGTGGCCCTGGGAACTGCCTCATGGCATGTGTTGTATAGAAATCCCAGGCGGCAAGTTGAGGGATCTTGTGCATGCACAGATATGGCACAGGATCCCTGCTAGTTTACTGGGAGGGCATGTACAGGGTGTCAGTGCATGCACAGACACACTGCGAGGATCTGCAAGGTCCCATAGACCTGGCAAAGATCCTTGTGGCATGCCTGTGCATGCGCTGCATCTCAATTCAAGATGGTGATGCCAGAGAAAAGCAGTGTATGGAGGACGTTTCATACAAGCAAGACAACACTCTGTGGACTAGTAATTGTGTTTTTTTTTCTTATATTTATAAAGGAACAAGATTTATATATAAAAACATTATTTTTAATAGTAAGGGTGGAGTCCCTCTTTACCATACAAAAAAGGAGCACTATGGCATAGGCACCACAGCCTTGATAATGATCATTAGAGTCATCATGTGACATCTACTTGGAAATAATTTGCAAAAAAAATACAAATACTTTTATTAATGTAAAAGTAGCAACATCATAATCCGAACAATAAATATAAACCTTGATACCCTTCACCACATACCAACTGTGTTTTTATATGCCCCCTTATTATGCACAATAAAGACTGCATACACTGTATATAGATAGCCACATTTGGTAGCCCCATGTTTCCATAAACTTACACAGTTAGAAGTGCTCACTATTTATATACTGTATATTCATTTTTCACTATACTGTATATAGTCAGTGGTGCATTTAGGTTTTGTGCTGCCCTAGGCAACACAAAAATCCTCTGCACCCACGGAAACAGACCAACTCAACTCCCCCCCCCCCCCCCCCGTTCCCCCTACCACAGAGAGAGCCTGACATTGACCAACAACACCCCTGCCCCCCACCCCTCAGGGCTTTCCACTACTACTCCCCTTCCCAGCGATAGACACTCATCTTCACAGCTTCAGACATTCCCAGGAACGAGAGCCAGGCTCTACATACACCATCACGCACCCCACAGCCCTTTTTCGGGGGGGAGGTGCTGCCCCCATGAAAAATGCCGCCCTAGGCAAGTGCCTTGTTTGCCTTGTGGTAAATACGCTCCTGTATATAGTGCCTTTACTTGCAACGACTAGATGAATCTTGACAAATCCAGACTATTTTGTAAGACAACAGTGGGGTTGATTTACTAAAGCTAGGCTTACATTCCTAGATTGTAAGCTCCAAGGAGCAGGGCCCTCCTTTCCCTCTTGTATTGAACTGTATTGTTGCTGTATTGTCTCCCGCAAGGAGCAGGGCCCTCCTTTCCCTCTTCCCTCTTGTATTGAACTGTATTGTTGCTGTATTGTCTCCCGCAAGAAGCGGGACCCTCCTTTCCCTCTTGTATTGAACTCTATTGTTGCTGTATTGTCTCCCGCAAGAAGCAGGGCTCTCCTTTCCCTCTTGTATTGAACTGTATTGTTGCTGTATTGTCTCCCGCAAGGAGCAGGGCCCTCCTTTCCCTCTTGTATTGAACTGTATTGTTGCTGTATTGTCTCCCGCAAGAAGCAGGGCTCTCCTTTCCCTCTTGTATTGAACTGTATTGTTGCTGTATTGTCTCCCGCAAGGAGCAGGGCCCTCCTTTCCCTCTTGTATTGAACTGTATTGTTGCTGTATTGTCTCCCGCAAGGAGCAGGGCCCTCCTTTCCCTCTTCCCTCTTGTATTGAACTGTATTGTTGCTGTATTGTCTCCCGCAAGGAGCAAGGCCCTCCTTTCCCTCTTGTATTGAACTGTATTGTCTCCCGTTATATTTTAAAGCGCTGAGCAAACTGTTGGCGCTATATAAATCCTGTATAATAATAATAATTTATGCAAATTGTGTTTGATGCATTTTCCGGGTGCATTTTGTGGTGGGTTTTTTTCTATTTCACACCCATTTTTTATACTTTTTTTTTTTTTTTTTTTTTTTTTTTTTTTTTTTGTGCTTTGACTTTAGCTGATTTTCAAGGAGCAGGTGGCTGCTGGCGACCTTGACAACCAATAAACAACATGGTTGTTAAGGAGTGGGAGGCTGCCAGTGTCCGTAACAACCAGTAAACAACATGGCAGTTAAGGAGTGGGTGGCTGCCGCTTCCTTAGCATCGGATGAGTTATCAGCTGTCAGAGGGGTTCCCCCCTGACAGCTGAATATAAACATACCGATAGCCACCAATTAAAAAATCAGGAAAAAATACAGCTTGGTCTACCCCCCCAATCTTTACCAGGCCCTTCACTCCCGAACCACCTGTTTGTGTCCATAAGACACAGCTGCCACGTCCTTAACAATGGGATCAGTTGTCAGTTGGGTTCCCCTCCTGACAGCTGAATATAAACATACTGATTGCCAGCAATTAAAAAATCCAGCAAAAAATACAGCGTGGGATCCCCCCGATCCTTACCAGGCCCTTCACTTCTGAGCCACCTTTTTGTGTCCATGACTGTGATTGACAGCAGCCGATGAGGAGGGAGAGCTGACTCTCTCATGCACATCTCTCGATCGAGATCGGGCTCAGGTAGGTATTGGGGGGGCTGAGGGAGGAGCTGCACACTGGAGGTTTTTTTACCTTCATGCATAGGATGCAAGAAAGTAAAAAAAACCTTCAGCATTTACAACCACTTTAAGGCTACATGTACACTAGCCTACCCTGACCATCGGCCGCAGGCAAACGCAGAAGGCTGCAAAAACGCTTGTAAACATGGTACTGTGTTTACTCGTGTTTTGCCATGTTTTTGCGTTTTCTTGCGGCCAACGGTCAAAACGTTCCTATCCTGAATGCGATTCTGGAGAAGGAGGTTTAACATCATCTAAACATGGCAGCTCCTAAACTCTGCTAAAAGCCTATGTGTACATGGAGACCTAGGCTTTTACGGAGCTGAGTTTAGGAGCTCTGAAAGGAAAAAACGCCAAAAGCTCCTAAACTCAAGTTTAGGACCTGCCAGCATACATGAAGCCTAAAGCTGGGATGTGGTGAAGGGTATCAAGGTTTAGAATTGTTTGGATTGTGATATGTCACTACTGAGACTTTTTCATTAATGAAAATATTTATATTATCCG